TCTTATCGGCGACAAGGACCTTTCCACCTGGTCACCAGCATGCGACGATGCATTCACCAAATTACGCCACCTGCTGACTTCTCCACCCATCCTCCGCCACTACGATCCTGCCGCTCCCACGGAGGTTCATACTGATGCCAGCGGTGTTGGACTTGGCGCTGTGCTCGCGCAACGAAAGGCAGGGTTTGATGAATATGTCGTCGCCTACGCAAGCCGAACTTTAACGAAAGCCGAGGCTAACTACTCCGTGACCGAGAAAATTGTTTAGCTAATATTTGGGCCCTTGGAAAATTTCGCCCCTACCTGTATGGTCACGCATTCGACGTCGTCACTGACCACCACGCCCTTTGTTGGCTATCGACACTTAAAGACCCTTCCGGACGACTTGCTCGCTGGGCGCTCAAACTTCAGGAATACGACATGCGCGTTATTTACAGATCTGGTCGTAAGCACACGGAAGACGCCGACGCCCTTTCTGGCTCACCCATATCGGATGAAGGTATTTGCTTCTCTTCCCTCGAGCCTGCACTTGCGTCCTCCGCCTTGCGCAACATGACGATGGAACAACAAAAGGATCCCTGGATCAGTGGCCTCATAAGCATTCTTTCTGATCCTCTCACTCCTTCCCCATCTCGCGCTCTCCGCCGCCAGGCTAGCAACTTTTGCCTAAGGGATGATCTTCTTTATCGACGCAACTACCTTTTTGACGGTCGCAAGTGTCTCCTTGTGGTACCCCGCCATCTTCGAGCTGCTATCTGCGAAGCTTTTCACGTGGACCCACAGTGCGCCCACGCAGGCCTCTTCAAGACATACGCTAGGCTTCGACTCAGATTTTATTGGCGTGGCATGTATAACTACGTGCGGAAATTCATTCGCTCGTGTGCTCAGTGCCAACGACAAAAGTTGCCTCCCGGGCAAGTCTACCCGTCACAACCTCTTCCTTGTTCTAGTCGACCTTTTCATCGCGTCGGCATTGAATTTACGGACCACTACCATCAACCCCAGCTGGTAATCGCTGGATTATTGTTGCGATAGACCATCTGACACGCTAAGCCGAAACAGCCGCGCTGCCGACTGCCACAGCCCATGACGTTGGAACGTTTCTGTTGCAACGTTTCGTTCTGCGTCATGGTGCCCCTCGCGAGCTCTTAAGTGACAGAGGCCGTGCCTTCCGTTCTGACGCCTTGAAGGCATTACTCAACGAATGCCGAATCGTGCAATGCACAAGTACAGCGTACCACCCTCAGACGAATGGCATGACGGAGCACTTCAGCCGTACTCTTGGCAGTATGCTGTCGATGTACGTCACCTCTGATCTTTCAAATTGGGACCAAGCTCTTCCGTTCGTCACCTACGCGTATAATACTGCCATACAAGCTACTACTGGGTTTTCGCCATACTTCCTTCTGTACGGACGAGAACCTTCAAATACAGTGGACACTATTCTTCCATATAAACCTTATGAGTCCAAAAGTACAACTCTGTCCAAAGCTGCCCGACAAGCTGAAGAATGCCGCCAGCTTGCCCGCTCTTTTTCTATCGAGGACCAGTGGCAGCAGCAATCCCGCCAGACTGGGGACCGTTCGGCTCCAAACTTTCCACCTGGTTCATTGGTATGGCTTTGGGCACCTGCTACCGCGCCTGGCCACTCCGCAAAACTTCTTCCCAAATACCTCGGGCCATACCGCGTTGTAGAGCAAACGTCACTCGTCAACTATATCGTGGAGCCCATGATCCCATTCACAGACCTACGCTACCGCGGCCGCGACACTGTCCACGTCTCTCGTCTCAAGCGATATTACGACCCATTAGTCGTTTGTTCTCCCTAATCCGCCAGGATGGCGTCTTTTTGTGCGGAGGGCGATTGTAGTGAAGAAGAGGAGCTTCAGCGGCATTTCTCGGCACATCAGGGGCATCGCCATCAGCATAAGCTCGTGCTTGCTGCGCTTGGCTGGACGCTGCTGACTGCTTCGCTTTCTGCGTTCTGCGCTGGAAATAAACCCCGTTACAAATGTATTGCTTTTTGTCTGTTTTTGTCAGTGCTAATATCGAAGCTTAGCGCGAACTGCGGAGGGACCGGGGCTTTTGTCAGAAGTACTGTAAAGAGTACACTATTTAGTACTCTCACTCTTACTTTTTATTATCTACACGAGAAAGCACCTTCCACCCTGCAAGGTGGGCTAAGTGAGTCCGGTGGCGGCGATCAGATAACTACAACGCACCCCACCGGACCCAACCCGCAACGACTGACAACTGCTAATAGCGGTTGGATGCTGTCAGACCGCAGTCCTCACAATGGGGGCAGCGGAAGGGTGGTGTCAGAGTCAAGTCCTCCCAATTGATGGCAGCGGCAGGATGCTGTCAGACCCCAGTCATAACACAGGCCACATACTGCGTAGCTGCTATAAGGGGCTGTTGGTCTCCTTACAACACTATTCCACTGTTCACGTTGCTGGCATTGTGTGTCGCATGTGACTGGCAAGAACAGCGAGGAAATCTAGTCATGTCTCGTGAAATCGGAGCATTGTTATCTGTGCAACAAAAGTGTCAGGTAGCGAGTGAAGGTGCGCACACGCTCGCATCACCGACACTGGCGAGTGAGTTTACGAGTGAGATGAGCGATTGCAGACTTGAAGATCATGACAGTTCCAGTGACACACGTTTAGATACAATCTCATCTTTTATATTTGCCTGAATTAGAGCGTGAGAACTTGACTAAGAACAGAGGAATTGTCAAGTAGATAAGGACGACGCGGCAGAGTGAAATCGTATGCAAGGCACAAATTAATGAAAAATTGCGAGTATGCTAATATGCCATCTACAACAGGACAACATGAACATTTCTCTTCTAGCATCCTCACGTAGCGTGCACTCCTTGCGCGTGTGCATTTACCGCAAGCGGTTTGAACTGATGTACTGGTGGCGGGTTGCCGATCGGTTGAGAAAAGTGCAATGCTTTCAGTAAAACGAGCCCCCATTTGTACAGGAATGCATTCTTACCCACTTTTACTGCGAGGGTGTTACAGCTCAAATCCTGTCATTTTCCAGCAGTGAAATGTTTTTGCGAACTCAAAAAAAAAAAGGCGGTAACGGGAAGATTGAAGATATAGTGATGAAAAAGATCCGTAAGCAGAGATTGTGTGCTGGAGCCGATGTCTCGAAGAGTGAACTTGTCGTCTAGAAGGCTAGAACTGATTTTGCGTCACGCTGCCGTGTAAATGGTTTGTCTACTCTCTTTCGAATAAAAAAAGAAGTGGGAGAGGGCAACTGTTATGTGGGGAGGGGCGTTGTGAAGGAATTTGTGGGTAAAAAGGGAAAGGTAGTCCGTGAATAAAGGGAACAGAAGACGTCTAGTCACTATGTTTACCCCTACCCCCCCCACCAATCTTCACATCCACAATTGTCCTCTCCCCCTCTTCTAGTCGGATTGAAGGAGAGGATACGACGCAGGTGCGTAGCCAGAATTTTTTTTCCGGTGGGGGTACGCTACCTTGATTTCGGCAGGGGCACCCCCCTGAAAATGATAGTTTCCCCTCTCTATGCTAAGGCAAAAATAATTCATGGAGGGCGGGAGCACGTTCGCTGTGTGCCACCCCCTGGCTACGCCTTTGGTACGAAGCAAACACCCTCGTAGCGCTAACATAATCGGTCGTAGCCTTGATGAAGACTATTGAAATTGTCGAAACGTCGCTTCGAACATGCAACTTTTGTTCAGAGATTTTTTCGTAGCACTTTTAAATTGTATGACCGGAATACAACTGAAATAGAGGGAAACTTCAAAGGGCACGTGATCATTCCTTATATTTCCGTTTCCCTGCTCTTAAGATCTTCAGTGTGTTGGGCCAACTGGCCCCGGATACATCAAAAATCATGGTGCGGCTATAGGTGACCAGCGAGTGATTCCTACGCTCGATTCACTGAATAGCGGGGATGTTAACCACACAAGCACGACCAAGATTGCAATAACGAAGAGTATTTCAATTTGCGTAAAGCGCACATTTTGCAGCCCCGAAAAGGTCATTACCTTGCCGAAATTATACTAGACTAATGGTCGTAAGATCTGGTCACTAGCGTTTCCGTCACATCGTAAACACACCCCTGCTAGCAAGAAAAGTTCAAACGGTGGAACAAGAAACGTTTTCTCGTCTTGGCATACGGCAAGTAGACTTGGCAGCGGCTACCCGAATGCTTTGCATCGTCTTCAGACACCGACTAGACTCCACAAAACAGAGGACACTTCGCTTTTCCATCTAAGGCAAAAGGCGCCCATCGTGAAGTCATTTTAGTTTCAAGTTGGAGTTGGAGAGGCTGGCAGCCGTCTGTGGCAACTGCGATAGTGAGGACACATTAAAGCACATCTCCTCTGACTCTCTTCGCTCAATTAACAGAGAGATCGAATCGAGGTCGCTCTAGCTCACGTAGATTACAGAGGAATTCTAGCGCTAACCGTTTGAGATTGTGACCCCAAGAGGTGATCCAGGATCTTCGATGAATTGGTATATCATCTATAGTGCATATAAAAAAGACAGTCACGTTCGAGGTAGCTACGCGCTATGTTCGAGTTCACGACACCTCAGCGCCACGTTCACGTCGTACTTCCGAGATTACCTAGATTGAACGCATGCCTAAATCTAACTAGTGGGATGCACAGCGTCAACAGACGAATTGCCACAGACAAGCTGGCTGACATTTCGACATTAGGACCCATCTCTGTCATAGGCACATTGTCATCCTTGGTTTATTAGTTTTAAGGGTATTCATAGCGACGCCATCTATTGGTGGTGGCGCGTGTCCTTGTTGGCAATCGCGAACATCTTGCGTTTTATCAGTTGTGTTTTTAAACGCGGGACATTTCAGGAATGGTGAAACAGTAAAACACTCATAGAAGAAAACAAACTGCTTTTTCTATGTGTAGTGTGTCTCGTTAAAGCCATGTGTTTCACAGTTCATGCAAAAATCGCCGTGCTTCAGCGAAGCATCTCTGCTGAACAGATGCTCACCGCCAGACCTTTAAGCATCATTCGGCTCCCCAGAGGGCCCAAACAGTTATTCTGAATGTAGAGATGCTGAAGGCGTCGGTCCATCTGCAGTAGGTATGCAGCGTGTCCGGCGAACGTGTCCCTCAGGTAGCATTCCCTAATGGAGAGTAGGCGTAGTCCCCCTGCACAAGTAGAATACATGGTCAGAGAACAGGTGCGCACTGTCATGTTGGGGCGACAACGTTCGATGTTGAGGTCAATCTCAAGCAGTCACGAAGGCAGAAAAGTGTTAAATAGCCACACAGTACTCTCGTTTAAAATTTATCGGCAAGGGGGGAAGGCTGCGAGTCTGAAGAGGTTGAAAAGTACTCTTACCAGATATAATTCCGAATGGCTCGCATTTTGCAGCGGTGCAGAAAGCGGTGGCTACGCGCAGTCATTGTTTCAGAACAACACAGACGCTGCTTAGCCTTTAAAATGCACGTTAAAAGACCACGCTTTTTCACTTTTTCACACGTGCAAATGCGCAGGGCGAGTTGTCTGGCCCCGGCCAGAATATGCACTGTTTAAGGGCACCGAGGTCTTGTTATTGATGTATTTGTCCGCTACCCGGTTTATTCGGTCAATCCCATGACAGCGCGAAGCGAACATTGCCGCATATGTGACTCGTAGTAAAGGTTAGAGCGTTCTATTATAGTTCAAATAGCCCTTGCACTTTCGGAAGTCATTATTCGCAACTCCATAAAGCTTTGTGTGCTAGAAACACTGGACGAAAAACAAAACAAAGATGGCTACGCTTCGGAAGGCCCCCGCGACACTTTTGATTGCCGCTGTGCTGAAGTTTTTTTAGTGTGGCGCCAAAACGCGTTGCTTACTCGAGAAGGTGCTAGTAAATTTCCCTGGTGAATGATGATTTGTGCTCTTCAACGTTCCAAAGCCACCATATGATTATGAGAGACGCCATAGTGGAGCATACTTAACAAGTGATAGTTGCGCTGTGTGTGCGACCTTCGAGTGTCATCAATGAACCACATCAGAGTTACTTCATATTGAAGAACCTCTCGAGTGAGCACGAGGTTGAAGGCTCATGTGTAGCAGGCTTCTCCGAAAGGTGCAACCTTCGCGCTGCGTTGCTGAACTGCTACTCGTTTCGAGGCAACTCCACGCTGTGATTCATGCTGCCGACTTGACGTATCTCATTGAGTTCAATTGTCCCATCGAAAGCTGAATAAGCATGCCGCTCATATGATTATAGAATTAGATTCTTATTAGAATATAGAGCCATGTGTGCGCTAGTATATTTTAGATTAGACATATCGTACTTATACTTGGAATAGGAGTGCTCTTTTTTTGTGCACTAAACAAGGTTATTAGATTTCTGTATAAGTCGTGTCCTTCCGAACACGTGCTTGTTGGTGTTATCAGCATTTTATAATCAATTATAACTGATTGATTGATATGTTTGGTTTAATGTCCCAAAACCACCATATGATAACGAGAGGCGTCGAAGTGGAGGGCTTCGAAAATATCGACCAACTGGATTTTTTTAACGTGCACCTAAATCTGAGCCCACCGACGTACAGCATTTTCGCCTCCTTAAAAAACGCAGCCGCCTCAGCCGTGATTCAATTCCGCGACTTGCGGGTCAGCAACCGAGTACCTTAGCCACCAGACGACCGCGGCAGGGCTATATTCAATATCATCATCATCATATTATCATTATCATCATAATATTATTGCTAGTACGTTATTATATTACTAATATTATTACTATTACTATTACTACATGTATTATATTACTCTTGAAGTAGAGCATACGCAATAACGCGTATGCACCTTCCAAAGACAACGAAAACCCCGTGCTCTAATTGCGCGAGAACCTGTGCCGCCTTTGCCAGACTAGCCGTACGCCCATTTTCCGGCGCGACCTCGTTGCGACTCCTCTGTTTGAATAAACATCATCGCATTTGGTGGAGGCTGCTGAGATCCCTAAGCAGACTTGGAGCTTCGCTCTCGCAAGTTGGCCCAAAGACCACCGTACAACATCACTGACGCAGTCGCCAACCAGCCCATCCCAGCACAGCCGGCACCATCGACTGCCCGTCGACCTGCCCCGGCACTACCCGTCAGAGGGACCCACCAATCTTCAGCGGCAGTGGTGAGCAAGACGTTGAAGACTGGCTGTCCTTGTACAAATGCATAAGTACCAGCAACAAGTGGGACAATGACTCTAAGCTCGCCTATGTTATCTTTTACTTAGATGACGTCGCTAAGCTATGGTTTACCAACCGCGAAACCACCATCGCAAACTGGTCCACCTTTAAGGCCCTCGTGACCGAAGCGTTTGGCCGACCAGAGGTCCGCAAACTCCGCGCTGACCAGCATATACGCCACCGAGCCCAGCAGCCTGGCGAGACTTTCACTAGTTATATTGAGGATGTGCTCGACCTCTGAAGGCGTGTTAACCCATCTATGCCTGAAGAAGAGAAAATTTGACAGACTCTGAAGGCATCGAGGATGGCGCATTTCAGATGTTGCTGGTGAAAAGCCCCACCACGGTGGCAGTCCTCGTAAGCCTGTGGCAGAGCTTTGATGAATTGCGTCGTCAGCGTTCCATTGCCTGACAGAGTGTCCCATCGCCAGATTCAATCTCGGCCGTCGCACTCGCAAATGGCAACGTTCGCCAAGGAACTCTGTCGAACCAGATTAAAGACTTCATCAGGGAGGAAGTCGCCCGAAAACACTCTCTGCTGCCGCATAGCAACGCGCCCACCACTAGCCTCCCTTCAACACTGCAGCAGGTCATACGCTCTGGAGTTTTCGATGCCCTCCCTACAGTTCCTGCCCCTTATCCATCCAATTCGGTACCAGCTGATGAAACAACTGCCGGCTACCCTCCACCTGCGCCACCGTCACCTCTCAGCTACGCAGCTGTGGTCGCACGGCCTCCACCGCATCCAGTCGCTTTATCGGATCCACCTCCTTCGGCCTCGCCTCCAGTTTACAGGCCCCCACCTCACTTTTCCCATCCATCTAATGAGTGGCGCACCCAAGACAATCGTCCTATATGCTTCGCGTGTGGTATCGCTGGCCACATTGCACGCTACTGTCGCCGCCGTCCCACACATGCGCACCCATACTTCGGAACTCCTACCTACGCGCCGCAGCAGGCCACCATGTCTGCTTATAAACAGAGCCACTCCAACTCGGATCGCCGCCCATCGACTGCTCGTTTCCCATCCCCTCGTCGTCGATCGCCATCGCCTATGTGTCGTCGACTACCTCCTGAGGAGGGAAACTAATCAGTGCAGTTCCGGAGGCAAGAACTGCAACTTGTAGGCAATTCCCAAGGCCTCCATTTTCGCCGCAAAATGTTGTTTATGTCGATGTTGAGGGAGTCGCCACATTAGCGTTAATTGATACCGGGGCCGCCGTTTCTGTTATGGACGCCAAATTTTGTCGGAAACTGAAGAAAGTGACCACATCTCTCTGTGGCATGGTGCTGTCCACGGCTAGCGCGCAACGCATTCATCCTTCGGCTGTGTGTACGGCGCGTGTGGTCATCCAAGACGTTTTGTACGTCGTACAGCTTTTTGTTCTACCATCTTGCTCTCATGACCTTATCCTGGGTTGGGATTTCTTATCACTTAATAACGCTATCATCGATTGTTCCCGTGCCAAAGTGTCCCTTGTGCCAACATGTGAATTTCCACCACCCGACTGTTCTCTGCTCCGCAAACTCATCGCTGACGACGACATCACCTTGCCTCCGGAAGCTTCAGTTCCTATTAGCCTTTCATGTGTGGCGCAAGCTGACGCAACGGTGGTGTTTACGCCATCTCCGGTTTTTACTGAACGCAAGGGCATCGTTCTCCCATTTGCCGTTCTTACAACTGCGTCTGGTTTAACCGTAATGCTGGTTACTAACCACTGCAACTACCCCATTGACTTACTTTGTGGTGAAACGTTAAGATATGTGCACTGTCGACCATATCGATGATAATATTCTTCCCGACAAAACGCCATGTCACATTGCCGCAATCACTCATGCGTCTGAGCCATCAAGTTCGTCAGCCTTTGACAATGCTATCGATGCAGATCTCTCGCATCGCCGCCAACTTGTTGCTCTTCCTAACAAGTTTCGTTCTTATTTCGACTTTCAAGAACCTGCTTTGGGCCACACCCCGACTATCACTCATACTATTGACACCGGCGCACATTCGCCTCTCCAACAGCGTCATTACCACGTGTCCGCCAAAGAGCGCCGCGTCATTACGGAGCAAGTAGATAACATGCTTAAACGCGGAGTCATACAACCTTCTCAAAGCGCTTGGTCACCACGTGTAGTTCTGGTAAAGAAAAAAAGATGGCACCGTATCATTTTGCGTGGAATATCGCCGCTTAAACAAGATTACGAAAAAAGTTGTCTACCCGCTACCACGATCAGACGATGCTCTTGAGTGTTTACAAGGCGCCGAGTATTTTACATTCTTGGATCTGCGTTCTGGGTATTGGCAGGTGCCAATGGCTGAATGTGATCGCCCTAAAACAGCCTTTGTAACGCCGGATGGTCTATATGAGTTCAAAGTCATGCCATTTAGGCTCTGCAACGCACCTGCCACCATTGAGCGCATGATCCATACCATCTTGCGTGCCCATAAGTGGAAAACTTGCTCGTGTTACCTGGACGACATCGTAGTCTTTTCATCTGATTTCCCGACACATCTTGTTCACCTCCACGAGATTCTGACGTGTCTAACTTCTGCAGGCCTACAACCTAACTCCAGGAAGTGCCACTTCGCAGCACGAAGAATAACCATCTTGGGACATGTCATCACAAGAGACGCTGTTCTTCTGGATCCCGATAAGCTTCGAGCTGTCGCTGACTTCCCGTTGCCCACATCACTGAAAGCCATAAGAAGTTTCGTCGGTCTCTGCTCCCACTTTTGTCGCTTCGTGCGCAACTTCGCGTCTATCATCGCACCTCTCACGACTCTGCTTTCCAACAGCAAAGGCATATCTGCATGGTCACCTGCATGTGACGACGCATTTTGCCAGCTGCGCCGCCTGCTGACCTCACCACCTATGCTTCGTCACTACGCCACGCTGCTGCCACAGATTCACACCGATGTAAGTGGCATCGATCTGGGTGCAGTTTTGGCACGACGGAAAGGCACCCATGCCAAATACGTAGTCGCCTCTGCAAGTCGCACTCTCAAGAAGGCTGAATTGAATTACTCCGTCACAGAGAAGGAGTGTTTGGCCATAATCTGGGCGTTGAGGAAGTTTCGCCCGTATATTTACGACCGTCCTTTCGACGTGGTGACAGACCACCACGCTCTATGTTTGCTGTCCACCTTGAAAGACCCGTCCGGACGCCTGGGGCATTGTGCACTTCGATTGCAAGAATACGACATCCGTGTCGTATATCGTTCTGGTCGCAAGCATGCGGACGCGGATGCACTTTCGCGATCGCCATTAACACCAGATGTGGCTTCTCTGTCACTCCTTTTTGCCACCTTGTCACCAATCGACACCACTGACATGCTTTCGGAGCAGCGTAAGGACCCATACCTTCCATTGTTACTCGAATACCTTACCGATCCGTCTGCTGTTCCTTCCACGAGAGCGCTACGCCGGCAAGCAGCCTACTTTTTAGTGCGAGACAACATTCTGTACCGCTGCAACTACATGCCTGGTGGCCGGAAGTGGCTCCTTGCTGTGCCTACTCCTATGCGCTCTGAAATCTGCATGAATTTTCATGTAGATCCCCAAAGTGCTCACGCAGGTGTCCTGAAAACCTACGAAAGGCTGCGCTAACGATATTACTGGCGAGAATTGTGTCGCTTTGTGCAGAATTACGTTCAGTCTTGCACCACTTGCTAACAGAACAAGACACCTCAGCGGCACCTTGCTGGCATGTTACAGCCTCTCCCATGCCCAGCTTGTCCATTCGACCGCGTGGGTATCGACCTCTATGGCCCCCTACCATATAGTTGCTCTGGAAACCAGTGGATTATTGTCGGCGTCGATCATCTGACACGCTACGCTGAGACTGCAGCTCTACCGGCAGCGACTGCCCACGAAGTTGCACTCTTCATTCTGCGCAGCTTCATTCTCCGCCATGGGGCTCCACGGGAATTACTCAGTGATAGAATTCAAGTGTTCCTGTCGGAAGTCATTCAAGCTATTCTCGCTGAATGCAACATCATCCACCAGAAATCTACCGCATACCATCCACAGACGAATAGTCTCACTGAACGGTTCAACCGCACACTTGGCGACATGCTGAGGATGTACACCTCCTCCGACCACACTAACTTGGACGCTGTCTTAGCTTTTGTTACGTTCGCTTACAACACCAATACGCAAGCGACTACCGCTATTTCCCCGTTCTTTCTGTTGTACGGCCGCGAACATCCCACCCACTCGACACTATACTCCCGTACCAGCCGGATGCATCTGAGGGCTCCCCGCTTTCGGAAGCCGTCAGATAAGCTGAAGATTGCCGTCAGTTGGCTCGGTCTATGACAAGTGAGGCTCAAGGTCTACAAAAGACCCGAAATGACGACGTTCATCACATAGCTCCCACGTCTCGTACTGGCTCCCTTGTGTGGCTTTGAGTGCCCCCGCACGTTCCTGGTCTTTCTTCTAAGCTTCTGGCCCGGTACCATGGTCCATACCATGTCATTGACGCAACCTCGCCGGTGAATTACATCATCCAGCCCCTAACACAATTGCCAGATTTGCGCCGTCGAGGACGCGAGACCGTACACGTCGACGGTCTCAAGCCCTACTACGACCGTCGTGCCTCATTGTGCCTACTCCCCGAGTTGCCAGGATGGCAACTCTTCCTCCCGGGGGTATTGTAGTGGAGCATACGCACTAACGCACATGTGCCTTCCAAAGACAACAAAAAACCCCGGGCTCTGATTGTGCGAGAACCTGTGCCGCCTTTGCCAGACTTGCCGTACGCCCATTTTCCGTCGCGACCTCGTTGCGACTCCTCTGTTTGAATAAACATCATCGCAATATTACTATTAGTATTTTTACTAGTATTGTATTACTAATATTATTATTATTATATTATTATTATTATTATTATTATTTATAATATTATTATTATTATTATTGTTTTACATGGCGTTTAACGTTCCAAAACCACTAAATGATTATGAAAGACGCCTAAGTGGAGGGCTCTGCAAATTCTGACTATCTGTTTACCGCGCACCAACATGGAACAGACACGAGCCTAGACCTTTTCGCCACCATGGAAATACGACCGCCACGACCGGGATAGAATCCATGACCTTGGGGTCAGCAGCCGAACACCTTAGCTACTGCCACGCCGAGGCGGGTGGATATTCAAGGCAGATGCACACTACGCACGCATGAACATCACATGTACAAGCACATACTAACATATATACAAGCGTGCTACGCACGCACGAACTTACGTACATGGTGGCTGCAGCCACTAAACCGGTAAAAATAATTTCACGAAACACGTTACTGATAGAGAAAAATAGCTTTCAACTATCATTAGGTTTCCGGAAATTAGCAATCTGTCATTCATTGAAATGATGATAAACGCATCACTCGGATACAAGCTTGTTCAAACACAAGTTGCGCTGCGCTGTGCCAGAAAGGCTGTGGCCACGACTAGAACACTCCAAAAGCTGGATCAATCGCTTTTCACAGTTTTTCCTAAATTTCTTGCGAGAAGAACCTACACTGCCAGTGTGCCGCGCCTATATAATTGGAACATAGCACCGTCTGTCGACTCCACAGGCCAAACGCACTCATAAACACTATAAGCGCGTTCACATTAATTACACATTATGATTAACTACTGCAGTTCATGCGCAGTAAATGTGCGTCTCTGAGAGAGGCGTTCAAGATTGTTTTTTCGGCAAAGCAACTTGTCCTTTATACATATTCGTGCGTAAAATAAAATGCTCGAGGGGAAGGATTACGTCAGCTTAATGTGAGAATTTGTAGCACCGCCAAATTGCGCCGAAAACGAGCATACACGGAAAATACACATAACCCAACCAATTTCTTAAAGCACACATGAACAAAATCACTCGGTGCTTAGGGAAGCCCGATCTATAAAAAGAATACTCATATGTTAAATATTGGTGTAATTAATGACTAAACACAAATCGTCACAAACGAATTACCTGGACAAACCACGATAGTGTCCGTCACCTCATGTGCAATGTACTAGTAAAGGATTAAAGACATTCTTCGTTCCGTGTCGTCTTCATTCGGACAGAACGACAGGTTGCCATTTCCACCACAAAGCCACGAATCGCGGCGTACCGCAATGGTCTTTGGACGTCTCTTTCATTTGCAAGCTTGCGCGTGTGTCATGGCGAAATCAACGTGCGCAATGTGGTGACATATCTCCTTTCAACGTTGACCCTTTCATGGCCTCCGAGATAAGGCGGCCGCACGCCGTTGGCCGCCGGTTCATCTCGGAGGACACGGCCCTTTAGCGTGGTTTTCATGCGCGGCCGCTAGGTGGTGAGCGTCCAGTTAAAATCACAAATTGCCACTCATCATCACGCATTTCATTCGTAAAAAGGCATGGGATGAAAGCGTGTTTCAACTTAAGACAAAATGTTCTTCAGCTGCGGTGCCATGGAAAAGTCGCGAATGAAGAAAATTTCCGCTTAGACAGCGCTTTTGCAGAGTAAGTGGTAAAGTTGTGTATTTGACGAGAAAACTGAAGTGTGCCAATAAATCAGACTTTTCTTGACAACGCGAATATTTTGGCATTCGGTTATTCCGCACAGCTTTGCCGGTATTGTGAAATCGGAATTACCCAGCTTTTACTGCATCTTCCTAGTTGCTACAGGTAGGATAAGAATAAAATGAATTTGTGGTATATGAAGTGGGAAAAATGCAGACTATTGTGAGACTACTTTCAAATTGGGCATGATATATGCGCCAATTGACTCGGTCGCCTGCGTTTCAATGGCAGAGGAAGTCGCCCGTGATTATGGACTGCTCGCATGCGGTTATTTACGGTTGTAGTAAGTTGAACTTCCGAAAAACCTGGTAGGCTACTCTTGTGCTGAAGCTAGAAGGAAGGCGTCAAGAAGGATTGAGAAGGCAGGGTTTTTAAGCAGTTTCGCGTAATGGGTGCTATCATGCTTGTGATCTACTGTAGTATAGCCCTTGTTGGTACAAGTATCGGCTTTACAACAATTGTGGTAGAATGCAGAGAATTGACTAACTTACAGTAAAATAAACTGCATATTTGAAGCGGCTCATCTACTTATGCGGCGTGCAATAATGAAAGTGTTGAATATGCTTGCTGTGCTAATCGTGTTGCTACAAGGTACTTCTAGGGAAAGCCCAATAACACGGTGTAAAGGATTGCACAAAGGCTTAATTTCTTGTCATGCCGTTTTCGGTATAAAGCTGGCGAAGTTACCGGCATGCGACGTGCGCTACATTGATTCACCTGAAAGCTGAGAGACCTTGCAAGTAATGATTACTGTGGTGGTCCTTTATCGTGTTTTACATGATATCCAATGAATAACAACACTCTTGAAGTGAAGTGGTTAAGGCAGATATGTGAAAAACTTAATGAATCGCGTTACACCTGTGTAGAAGGAGAGAAAAGTTTAACGCCAAAACGCCGAAAGAATAAACAGGAACAGATAAGCAGTTTTGTACTCTGCACTAGAAAAAGTAAGACAGATAAGTAAGGAAGAAAGGAAAGAAATAGTAAAAGAGGTAAGCTTAAACCCACGCTACTTCGCAGAAACTAGCAGACACGTCGCCTTAAACACGAATACTTGCCTGTGATAAGCTCGGCGAAGGCTACTTCCAGCATCCGATCCTCTTCCTTGCCGCATTTGTAGAACATGAGATTCTCCAGGCCACTTGTAGGCGGCTCGGACGCTGATGCCCCGCCCGGAAAACTAACCGGAGACGGCGGGCGCCGATACAAGGCGCGAGACATGATTGCGAGGTCCAGAACTGCGAGGTTGCACTCATTGAGAATAAACGTCTTGAGGCTCCGGCTTCCAACCGCTGCTCTCATTAAGGCCGATGGTGTAGCGACCTTCGAGCCATGGATCTGTGAACACAGGTGAGGTGCGGAGGCGTAAAAGACGGAATATTAAGGTGGCAAGAACGTTGATCGCAGTAAAAAAATGGTTTTGGAGTTCTTCGTACTAAACATCATGATGTGGTTGTGATGATTTTGAGTCAGTATAACATCGGATGCGTGATTGGAAGGTCACAGGTGTGATCCCCGTCTGAGCAAGGTGCATATTTGCCCCCTTGTATTCACCCAATACAATTACTACTGGTATCAGCCCCTGTACTCTCCTTGGCACGATTGTCTGTTATATCTCAATATTATGTCTAACAAAAAAAAAGCCAGCCCGTAAATCGACAATTCTCATCCTCATAGGGATATGAGGCCCAGTGCAGTGGAGAATGCTCTGGCAAAGTCGACAACCTGGCGGTGCTTGACAAGCACCTAAATGAGCGCACAGCTGTCATTTATATTTCGCCACCATCTAAATGTGGTGGTCATTGCCGAGAACCGAACCCGTACCTTGGGCCTTAGTACCATGACACTGTATCTTTGCCAGGCGACCCCAGGTGGTCAGGTTTTATCAATTTGGCTTCTAAAATGGGCACCTATACCCTTTGGTCGGCAAAACTCCTGGAGCTCACTCAGACTAAAACTTACCAAAAGACTACTCACTCGGACTCAAAGTCCGACTAACGGCTCAATCCAAGTCTGAGTCCGAGTAATTCGGCTCACGAGTCCGTGAGCGTTGAATTATTTTCGACCATGGTGTCAAAGCTCTTCACACCTAGCCAGTGCTCTTCCTGGCGCCGTTTGACATCGTAGCTTCCGAGACGAGTTCCGAGTGCTTGCAAACCAGTAAACTTACTTTGCTGGGAAAAGTAGGCAGCCTAACTATTTTATTATAGCTTTCCTAGAAGAGTTCGCGGGAGAGAAATCAACGCAACTCCTTACGTATTTCACGTATGATCAATAAATAATGAAATGCTGCATCAGTGACACTGCTTAGGGATACCTGTGAGTAGACACGATATAAACATGAATGAAGGCAAGGCTGATAGTGATGCTGGAGCTGACTAGATACTACATTTAATTATTTTTGTCTCGGCCATTAGGCATCCACAGATATGCAACCGTCACCACCGGAATCAAAACCACGTCCTTGGGGTGATCACGATAAGGCACTGGCATGATTCGCAGACGAAGTGAACAGCCAGAGAGCATGATATGCCAAAAAAACTGTTTTCTGCTTATCTTCTGCGGGTACGCTAAACATCCGTTGTCTGTCTTAATCGCTTAGCATTCAATACTGCAGTACATACGCTGGTAACAACTGGGGAAAAGGGAATGAAGTCTTCCCCAACCTGCACGACGTGTACCGCAGGTGTTTGAAGTCAAGTTCTGTGACCAAGTACGTTTTTGCAATAAAGTCAGCTGAAAACCCCCGATATTTTTAACCGAGAAATGTACTTACCAGCAGGTGCTTGTCAAAATCAGGTGATCCCCTTGTTCTAATTTTAACAGCGAGGCATAGTTTATTGAATCGTTCTTTGCGAGTATCGCGAAGCACTAGCATCGTCTTGACAGGCATGTGCGTGATACCGTGCGACCTACCAGAAAACTGATGTTCATAAACTAATATGCGACACAGAAAGTTGGTAGGTCTCGCTACACCCAGAGGGTCCGCCATAAATGAAGAGTAGAGCTCACGAAATCACTGCGAAGCAATTGTGGTGACCACGCACAGTTACTACTAGCAAACGAGAAAGACCGCTGTGACTGCGAGATGTCCCCAAAGCGATGGAAGTCTAGTTACAACAATGAAGTGTTCGTAGATCTACGAGGTTGTTCTCTTTGGAGCAACTGAAAAGGGCTTAATCCAGAGGAGCATTTGCGAATCCGTCCGAGATTTCACAAGATAAGTGGAACGAACAGAATGATAAGCCTAGGCATAAATTCACCTATTTTTAGGCATTGGCTTGTTGGCTTTTCTTTTTCTTTTTCCTGATTTATTCTATTTTTATGTATTAGTTTACCACAGCTTTTTTTTTTCAAAACATCCCTGTTTAGACGTGCTTGGCTGGTACAACAACAATATTTCTAAGATTACCGTTTGTTTCATGGCCGATTCTTTGTGGTAAGTTGCGCTCAAAAATTTAGGACCAACCAACCAGCCAATACTTGGCTAAGCCTAAGTTTCTGGAGTTTAGACATGCGTCGCGTCTGCTTTAGCCCTTCTTCGCTGGGAATCAACGTAGCGCAAACCCAGCATCACCTAGCGAAGCTCTACCAATTCGAAACAACGCGACTTATCTTCAAAGTTCTTCAGCATCGCTGTTTCAAGCCTTGAGCAGCTTAGTGCGAGTTCCGTCAATTTGTGCCTTTGTTCAGATGCCGCAAGGCATCCGAATATTGACATATGGTGGGTAATTTGTAAAACAAACGTTCCTAGGCAGAATTCCTTCTAGTAAAGTTGCAAAAAGTCTGTTCAACTGTTCAAAACTTATCTTGTAGAAAAACAAGCACATAACCTCTATCTTGTAGAAAACAAAACGCAACCTCTGTCTTCTAGAAATAAGACAAATGCGGAGATGCATGCTCATTGCACCATCGTGCCGGAATTGCTAAAACACCGTGATTTTCTCCCAGATGCCCGCCAGCAGCAGTAGGTGGTAGATATTATTAGCTTGCTGTTTGAACGTTGAAAAAATGTGCTCCTCGGTGGCTCAGTGGTTAACGCCTCCCCCCCCCCCCACCATTCTTAGGACCCAATTTCGATTCTGCTGCCGGAATCTTTCTGTGTTTTCTTGAATTTTTGTATATACACATACGTCGACATACATATACGGTGAGTGATGGCGACGCTGACACCGGTGGCAAAATCCAGCCAAGAGCGTCCATATAATTGCTATCGCCATGGAAAGAAAACTGGTCCCGTATCTGCATGTTTCACTACAAATGCCGTTGAAAGACGATAGTCTTGCGTGTGAAGAGAGTGAGCAAAACGTTTATTTGATGTTCTGCGTAAAAAAAATAGAAATGTATTTTGGAAGCACTGCGTTAGAGAGTCTCGATCCATGCAGCAAAGGCGAACTAGCTGCATCGAGGCACATTAAACACCATCGCCATTTGGCAGTTATCTTCGAAAATGAAGGTAAGCGTGCGCGACCACGGTGAAAGATGCGTGCCTATCTCGGAGAAGGTAAAGTGTAGAACGCAAAGTGACGGGCAGGTGACACCACCGCCCGTCGTTGGAAATACGTAGCAAAGCGTTGGAAATACTTGTCTGCTTTGAGCAACGTGTTGCACTGTCAGCGCAGCGTGATAAACGCCATGGTCCTTAGGATCACTTCTGTGTCTTCAGTAAGAAGGCACACATACAAAACATTGAGGTGTTGTTATAGTGCCCCAGATATGGGCAACAATCGCTTTTTAATTGACCATCGCACAAGTATGAATGCTGAAACTTGAGAAATAATTGTGTGCACTGCAGATGAGGTTGACCGTTTGATGTATCGTTTGGCACCCGTAGAGAAACCATTAGCGCGGACAAACGGACAAAGGTACAGAAAGACAGACCAAAATTTTGCCGTTGAAGGTCCCCAAGAAACTCTCGTCTTTAAAAGGTAACTACATCTTAACAGAAGGAGATCTGGGCCGCAAGAGCGGCATAGCGGCAATTCTCACAGCCGGTGGGGAACAGGAAGCCCTGTAGGGACACACCGGACCGGTAATAGAGGTGGTATTTAGTTACGAGCAGTTTGCGAGCGTGGACAATAGCTGCGAACATACAGAGGAGACGTGAAACTGCAGTTCAATCAACTCTGCTAGGTGTAGCCGTGCAGCAGAGACGTTTTACTTTCCAAGAAAAAAAAATATCTATTCGGGGAGTAGTACTGCCACACAACAATTATCGCCACCTGAATCGCGCGCGTTTCTTTTCTTGAAAACACGGTGCTGGTCACTTGCCTGTCAAGAATCACTATCTCACACTGATAACACGAGCACGGTTCGTAACCGCTAAATACCTTAATTGTGGTGATAACGCGGAAAAACGTACTCGAACTAGATTATTGCTTTGCAGTAACACTCCCCGAATACTCTTTTCTTAAGAGTACGTTTTGTGGGCCACACCGTACTGGTTCTCGAGGTGAAAAGGAGCGGCACTATTACGGTGGGAGAAACTTCTCTTCATACTAAACGTCAGGGTCCAGAAGGTGATGGGAAGAGGGAAAATGTGGGGAAACTTCGATCACTCTAATTGACGAGAACGCGAACGCCTACGCTGCCTGATCTTCACTGTCGTCAGTAGTTTATCATAACGAGATTCTATTCGAATGCTCCTGCGAATACGTTCTCGAACCGAGTGAGGTATTGAGACTGCACCAGTTACTTCGCTTTATACTGGTCGATCCGGCTCCACTCTTCGATCAGTGCCCGGTACACCTCAATATGCCCGCTGGTAGACTTCTCATGGAATCGGGGAGCGAGATGAAGCCAGGCTTTAGCGGCGAAACAAAACTGTCCAATCCTTCAGCAAGTGACGGAAGGGCTGAATCAGGGAATATGAACGGCTATTAGGTCTAAACTAGTCAATTCTACGTTGTTTCTAGAGTTCTGCTAGGTGCTTGCCAGCTCGATTCTCAGCGCAGAAAGGTGGAAGTTAAACCACGGACGGTCGCAGACACAAGACTGCCAGAACTCCTTAGACACGCCCGTGCGAAAACCAAGCGGTCGCACATATGTAATGCCTACGAGCACGTTGTCATTAAGGCAATGGTTTCTATCACTTTTACCTTTAACAGCCAGCATTACCTTTACCGTTCCCTACAGTGCTCATTCGAGCGTACTGTTGAAACACATCGCTTCAGCGAATTCGAACTCGATATGCGTGGTCATGGTGTATAGTTGCTTATTGACAACACTTTATGGCTTTTTGGAGGCGAAGCCCCTATTTGTCTAGCCTTTTGCCGAATCGGGCGTAACGCGCAGTGTCTCCCGAACAGTATAATCGATAGCGCTGCTTAAAATACATGCAAACTGCAGCTGAGTGAGGATACCCTTGATGACACTGTACCACTACTCTCTCAGGGGCTGCTGCTCGGGTTGTGGCTGGGTGCGCGGTGTACGAGTGCCTCTCCGAGCCCTGAATAGTCGCCATGCCTGTCGAATTGTTTGCAGGGCGTGGACGAAGAGGAGAGGGGGGGGTCGTGGCGGTACGTACGCATGCTTCACTCTACTCATCAGCCGCTCCTTGGATATGTAGTGAATATTTTATTGAGCTTGTTATGTGTGTGGGAACCATATTTTGAATTGATTGTTAAGTTGGGTGTAACATCCCAACATCCCCATATGATAATGAAAGACGCCGTAGTGTAGGGTTCTACAAATTTCGACCACCTGGGGTTCTTTAACGTCCACTGAAATCGGAGCACCTGGGCCTACAGCATTGTCGCCACCAACGAAAACGCAGCCGCCACAGTCGAATTCCATCCCGCAACCTGCGGGTCAGCAACCGAGTACCTTAGCCTCTAGACACCGTGGCGGGGCACACAATTGGAGTTCTCCTGCCCTCGGTTGCTTCGATGTTTCATTTCATTAATGGTAAGTGGTGAACCTTCCCAATATCTGTAGAGCATACTCGTACTCTACGAATACTTTTTGTAGACACCAAATTGTTTGCAGCTAGCTTGAACAGTCTCGCTATTAAACATTCTGAAATATAAAGCTGTTGAGATCTTTACTCGTGATTGTGCTTGCATGTGCATAGAACTTCTTCGGTTTTGCTCAAGAAGTGCCGTTTAAGTGTTACAATTAACACCACTTGTACGAACACCTATTCAAGCTTCATTAGTGCCACTGCCCCGCCTAACTCTCTTGCAGGTGTGCCAACGTGCGACATGAGAAGGCAGTTAGGTGCCAGAAACTAGCAATCCTGGCTAAAGGCTACTAGTTAAAAAGCGCCACAAATCTTAAGGTATTAGCGCATGTAGGTACTGTAGCACAGCGCGCTGCACGAGGTTCGCAGTCAACTGGATCTTTGAGTAATTCAGCCCTCAGTTCACGTGCTTTAACTGTCGTATAAGAGTAGAGAACTCTACACATCTGCAATTGATTGGTGGTGCGGCCAAGTTCAATTTCCAGCGTTTACATAGAAGACTTCTTGCAGTTATGCGCCTAGCAACTGAAAAATTTGAGCGTTAGTCACCATGGTGACGTATACCTCGTGACGGAGCTCATACAAGGTAAGTGGACATGTAATAATAAAAGGTAATAGAAGACTCATAATGAAAGCTAAACAAACACACTCTGTGTCAAAGTTTGAATGCCTACCGGATATTACCATACCATTAAGAAATAGGACGCTCAAGCCACATTCGAAAGTTACTATGCCTCGTTATGACTGAAAAAAAAAACGTGGAGATTGCTATTTGTGGCAGGCAGACGGTGTGTTTGGAGACACACGTAAACTTTTCGCCCTAGGAATCTGATTCGGCGAGATAGAACTACCATTCCGTCACAGAGAAGTAAGACAACAGCCCAAGAAGGTACTCGTAGTCGTACGCCTCGAAGACTCGGTATCATTAGGAGAGGCATTGGGGGCTTCGGCAATTTTGTTTACCTAAGGTTTTTCGACGTTTATTTTAACAAAAACTCGCGAGCCTCGTGCATTTTCGCCTGCATAGAAAGTGTAGTAGCTGTGGCCGAGACGCAGTACACAGCCTGGGGGTCAGCTATGATGCTCCGTAACCTTTAGAACAACATGGCAGTGGCACAGAAAACTGTCCGTCTGCTATAATTATGTGCCGGGGTTGATCCCGTTTCATCACTACAAAGGCAAGGGCCATAATTTCGGTGTATCTTAAGGTGAGGGAATATTGGTCACAGCCTCATAGAGGTCGCGCATACGCTTGCAAAGCACTGATCAGTGGTGATCTACCATCACTTTGATTCACATCAAGAAATTTAAAGAAATAAAGAGAAAGTCACATGGCCAACTGCACACTTTCCCTGCACGACTAGATGGATTAACCATGAAGTTATTCTTAGGAGATTGTATTCATCCCACTGGAGCACTTTCTTCACCAAGTCAAGTTTTACATTGCCTCCGAGATCAAAGGCAGTGAAAGCCTCCGTGATAATTCTACCCTTTTTACTCGATCGAACATCGCGCTTTCTATAAAAACAATGGAGGAACTGTGACGCTAGTGGCTGCAGCTGCAACGCATGGGGTTTCAGCCCACATGGGAATGATAGGTCGTACATAACTTAATCTAATAATTGTTCTTTCGGCTGAGCTTGGCTTCGCATGGCCTAGAGCAGCTTGGTCTCGTGACGACAATCTGCAAATTTTCAGCAGTTCCGGTCCCCTCTTACCTTATTATGTTCATCGATTCAAATCAGGTCATGAACTTCACAAAAGTATGCTCTTTTATAAGAAAGAAAGCCAAAATACAGCATTAAAGAAAACAACAAGTGCGTTCAAGGCTGTAAGCATGAAAAAATAACAATCCGCCAAGAGATCGTAGTTACCATTAGGAAACTATGCAGAGAACGACTGCCGTTCCATGACGTTTTCACATGTTCTGCATCGCTCATGATTATTCTGCCACTACCGCCTATTATGACTCCATGTTTGAGTGAGCACCAAGAGCTTTCGCATGGTCACGTATTCGAATGGGCTTGCCTTACCTCGAGTTTGTTGAGAGCAACGTGTGTACGCACGACGTCAGCAAAGACCAGACCTTCTTCATTCTCTAGCATTTCGATGGTCACCTCCATGGACGTCACCGAGATGTTGAAAGCGAGATGTCTCAGAAAGGGAATAATCCCATCAGCCTGTCAGGGCAATGCAAAGCGTACTCAGTCAGACTGGGCGTTTGGCGTAAGCCATTCCGGTCACACCCGACAGATTCCTCTAAAACCCGTAGGCTGACAGGCAACATTGAGGTGTTACAACCCCACAACAACCCGAGGATATATTTTGGGATATTCGGGTGGGTTCACTGTCCGCAACAGCTATATCATACCGCATTTGCGTACCATATCTCCGTGAATTTCCAAAACCGCTTGGCAGGACGGCTATAGGCATTTCTAAGGAAGGGTGTTCAAATCGTCCTAAAAATGAGCGCTTTCTAGTAAGATTCTGTGATTTTACTAAAGTGTGGCAGCAACCCTGTGCAGTATAAAAGCAAGCTTTGTTGTTTTGTAAAAGCAAGTTGAGTACTTGACATACACATATGACTGGAAGGCACTTTCTAACGCATAGACGTAACGCCACATATAGATAGCCTGAAATCGTGCGAATGAAATGGCAACGTAATTTTTCATTACCAGCAAGGGTCACCACTACCGTAGAGGCGATAGAAGCTGCAACTGCCAATGTTTAGGACATCAAAATCAGTTATTCGGGTTCGTCAGCGAGTTTTTATATCGAAATAAACACAATACAAAGAAAAATACTTGTCGCTTGTGTCGAGAATGTTAGGCTCCGAAGGGAAGCGGCTTCGGCTAGCTTGCATGTCACGAGTGCTATAGAACAAACTCGGGGACACACACAAAAACGAAGACGGGTGCTAGTTGGCGGCTGATATTACCGAGCACAAACGGTGTTTAAACATGCCGGAAGCGCGAAGAATAACCTATTGTGACAAATAATGAGCCATAAAAAAGATTAGACGAGTCATAAAAACAAAAACAAAAATCGGGCGAAAACAGGAAAGCAAAGCAAAAAAGAATTGGCAAATACCACGTACAGTGGGAACCTATGATATGCGAAGCGCGAATAAGAAAGGTTGATATGTCACTTTAAAATCAGCAAAATGATACGAGGTTGAGGTATATGATGCCGTACATGACTTACGTGTGATGATTAGCATCTTTGGATGTGTCGTTTATCTTCGTCACCTATTCACGTCACGTTATACCAAATTCAGTATATGCGGAGAGAGCGAAACTGCCGCGAGCACGCTAAGAGCGTGGTATGTTGTCATGTTCTTGCATGACACGCTTGTCGGTATTATCATGTTTGCACCAGTCATGTACTTTCGTCATCCCTTGAAGTCAAGTAACACCAAATTTGGTATATGTGGAGCTAGTAAAACGGCAGTGAGCGCATCATGAAGGGCCCCAATGTGGTACAATGTAGCGTTGACGCGCGCGCACGCTGGGCACAGCGACGGTACGTTAGCAAAACGCGAGCACTCTATAGTCTAACGCCAGGCGCGACCAGTGTCCATCGGTGCGGCCCGACGGCAAACAGCGCGAAATGCGACATGCTGCAATTCGCGCCAATGCGCTACCTAGACAACACTGTGTCTCCGCCTTTTTGTGATCAATGGGATGCCGGACGCGCTGAAAAACTCATGTGTCAAAGCAACGCAGCGCGGCGCACGCCTGCGAGTATATGGCAGGACTGGCGCCTGGCGTGGCAACGCCGGCGTGACGCGACGATATGAACGCCGGCGAGCACGCGCACCACGTCACGTCGAAAACGTATTGGCGCCCTGACTGTGACATGTAGTCTAGTTCTCACATGACACGCATCTTATGTTTTCACCGGTCACATACCTTCGTCATCCATTCGCGCACCGTAATACAAGATGTAGTATATGTGACGCTAGCGAAACGGGCTGCGAGCGAATCATGAGCGTGGCATGCAGTGATGTCACATGACACGTTTGTCACTGATTTTCATGTTGCTTGTGTTCGCGATGCAATCATGCCATATCATATTAGTTTTGCAATATATCATGTGAACTGAAACCACTACAAGAGCTGCAGAACCATGAAATGTAAATCGTGACATTCATAACACATATCATACTTTTCATGTTATGACTAGCCAAATATGTTCTTCATACAGTCATGTTATGCCATACCAAGTTTGGTATTGATAACACTGTTGAAACGGCCAGGAGATCTAAAAGTCGTAGGCTTGCAGAGGGCTAGACACACATCACTCATTGCGTGATTAAATATCCTTAAAAGCCTGCGAATATTTGCTTAAAATAATGATTGATAGATATGTGGGGTTCAACGTCCCAAAACCACTATATGATTATGAGAGACGCCGTAGTGGAGGGCTCCGGAAATTTAGACCACCTGGGGTTCTTTAACGTGCACCCAAATCTGAGCACACGGGCCTACAACATTTCCGCCTCCATCGGAAATGCAGCCGCCGCAGCCGGGATTCGAACCCGCGCCCTGCGGGTCAGCAGCCGAGTACCTTAGCCACTAGACCACCGCGGCGGGGCAGATTTGCTTAAAATAGAAGTGAGAATTAATAGAATGAGAGCTACTATAGACAGGTATAGAGTTGGTGAAAAACGGTGCAGTGCATCGTGTGTATTACAAGGTGAAGCTATGCTAGGTACGACTGCCACACACGGCCTTTTGCGAGCACGGAGTCGTAGGTTTAGGGCAATTAATCGTAAACTTTCGCAGAAACAATCTCCCGCAGACCATATGCTACGATATTCACGCGCAAATTAACTTGAGTGTACAGACATCGTTTGAACATAAAACTGATTTCTGAAAAACGTAGATGCAAAACTCTGCTATAACATGTTGGCCGTTTAGCTACCCTTTTCTGGAAGCGGCTACTACATACAAAAGCTGCAGGTGCAAAAACGCTATATTTCAGGTGTCGTGCCCATTAAAGGGGAAGTAACAGCAGTTGGCATTTCGAACTGAATAGACCATAACATGAGAAGTTCAAATTATCACTAAAGAAGCCGATATGAATTATTTCAAGTTTATTTCGGTGGAGCTGTGAATTGAGCTTGAAATTGTGAATATTTCGCATTTTATACGGCCTTTCGAGTTTTTGACCTCAGGTGAACGAGGCATTTCTTTGTTACAGCCAACATGTTACAGCCAACAGTATTGGCATTCATTATAAAAATAACAGTTATCAGTCAACAAGAATCACGAGGCACATTTCCTACCTTAATTTATTGATATGCATGTTCTTAAAAGCCAGGTTCAAGTGTGCGCGACACTAAATCTTCTTACACTCTTAAGGATGCTTTGTCGTGTATATAACACCTTATAATAGGAGTTAGAGAACACTCTTATTGTAGGGTGTTAAAACAGGGAAAACATCCTTAAGGGTGCATAGTGGTTTACTGTGTTCGGGCAGAAATATTTAACAGTTAACACTTGAAGATTAGCAGTAACGTACAGGGAAATATTTGCTCACCGGCTCAAAATGTTTCAAATTCAGCGTGGTAAGGGAAATGGATTCTTCCACGTAGTTCCCGAGGATCTCGGCGGCTTCTGGGGAGAGCAGAATATTTCCTAGGGTCAGTGAACGTAGGCCCGTCAGGGTAGCAATCGATTGAGCCCAGCGGACGGACTCTTCTGGTTCTTCCTGAAAAAAAAACGGAATCGGAACAATAATTGTTAATTGGTTTATGCACCATAACCGATGCTGATATCCCGTATGATGCTTGACAACGGGAACCTAAATATAAGCACCCGAACTTCAATTATTTCACCTGTAGCAAAGTTGGGGGCGTATGGACTAAGATTCGGTCCCGCGACATCAGTGAGGCGTAACGGCCGTTCAACGAAATGAGAGGACTATAGGGCTTCAATCGAGCGGGATGGCTACATGCTGCAAAGTTAACAAGCGAATAATCACAAAAGAAAGCTATAAAATGCTAATTCATTACAAAGACGAGTTGCTGCGCATAATTTTAAAGATGATTTTTGCAACAATATTAGCAACTACGAGCAAAAGCACAGTCATATTTTTACAGTGTCTCCAGATTTGCCTACAATCGGTAGAATGTATAAATTCCTGCATGTGTGGACGACACTCAACTGCTCAAACTCGTTCAAAAACGCAGAGTTAGAGAAGGGCAAAGTCGCGGTTGAGGGAAAGCGATGGTAACTAAAATATTTACATTTTCTAGTATAATGCAAATAAGCGAAAGAAAACAATAAAAAAACGCTAGAAATCTGGCTTGAAGATTCTGTTAGCGACTTGGCGAAAGAAAGGAGCCGAAAACCGCTATGGCAACCATAACTGGAAAGTGTTTTCAAGAAATAACGAAATGGAATAATGCGCGAAGGAAGTGCCGTAAATAACGGGACACACGGGAGAGGGTAATGTGTTGAGCATTGTGCAGGCTAGAAAACGGGGGCAGGCAGGTTTGTCGGGTGTCTTGATTGATACGTGGGGTTTAACGTCCCAAAACCACCATATGATTATGAGATACGCCGTAGTGGAGGGCTCCGGAAATTTCGACCACCCGGGGTTCTTTAACGTGCACCCAAATCTGAGCACACGGGCCTACACCTATCGTCGGGTGTCTTTTCATCCTACTTATGTTTCAAAGGTAATACATCTGCGGTACACTGTTATTATGACCACAGGCAGTGGCCTAAATTATGAGAGAGAACACAAGGAGTGCAGGGGAGAGAATAACTTTCAACTGCTTCCTTGTAATTTAGTTGTTGAAGGAACTAAAATAGGAATTGATAAATATGCGAGGTTTAACGTCCCAAAACCACCATATGATTTAGCAGACGCTGTAGTGGAGGGCTCCGGAAATTTCGGACAACCTGGGGTTCTTTAACCTGCACCCAAATCTGAGCACACGGGCCTACAACACTTCCGCCTCCATCGCAAAGCAGCCGCCGCAGCCGGGATTTGATCCCGCAACCTGCGGGTCAGCAGCCGAGTACCCTAGCCACTAGACCACCGTGGCGGCGCTAAACTACGAATTCCTCGACAGTTAAGAATGGTGAATGCTCAATTCTACTCTTAAATAAGGCATTTCATAGGCGGCAAAACGATGTACAAAGGTAGGTGAAAGCTGTCGCTTCAGAAAGTTCAACAAAGCGTCAGGTTTTCTAAATGCGGCGGGACGCTTCTGTGCCGTGAATTATGCTGGGCTTTGAAATCTAGAGTAAACACAAACTCCAATCCCCTATCGTATCGTATGTCGACGCTATATGAGAACATTAAAAGCACAGTACAGATGCGATTGCTTTATTAATACAACATGTGTTTATTTTGGTAAATGCTTTCACCCCAAGTGTCGTTCTGTGCTCATTCAGAAACGCATCACTTCAGCAAATTCACCGATGAAAACAGCGCTTGCCAGGAAAAATTTTCTGGGGTGCATTGTGGGAAGCTACTTATAGGTATATAGATGTGCTGTGACAAATGAAGCTGAAAATAAAAGTGTACGCTGCACGCGTTATTACACAAAAGTACAAGCATTTTTGCTTACCCGTTTAAGCGTTATGAAAAGCTGGGAAAACGCATACTTACAAGTTTGCTCTTAGTAACATCACCGTGCAACACGTTTTCACTCTTGGCTGCTCAGTGCTTTTTTCCCTGAATCAGCATCGACACTGAAGCTATGCCGCCCATTTTTTTTTTACAATTACACTACGGTGACTACAACACAACATGCTCCGAGTTCTGAGTGCGCTTCGTGTTGGGGATAAGTGAACCAAGGTTCCGACTATGCTCATTTGTACCAGAGTAACATTCGCTACATATTGCCACAGAAACTGCCAGTGTTCGAGTCTTACACATACACATTTGTGCACTGCAGGCGTGGCATACTGAAGAAGCAGGTAAAGGCGAGCCAGCGAGAGCAGATGACAGAGCAAATGACAGAGAGGAAAGTGTCTTGTGCAGAAAGCTGTTTGTGTATGCTACTTCAAATCGAAGTCGGTGGATTGATGTCTCTAGGTGTCGTGGGAGGTCTGTAGCCTATGAAAAATTTTCTGTGCGGATAAACTCCATAAAGTACCATTTCCTTTGATTTAGGGCTCTCAAATCACTTCTCCATTGAACAATAATTAGCTCCTGGCGTTATAAAATGTCGAATGTCCGCCCCAGACATCGGGATTGCACAATTCCGTCCTTCCTTCAATGCTTTCTTCGCGAGGCTATCAGCCTCTTCATTTCTCTTTATTCCTATGTAGCTGGGTATCCATTGGAATACGATTTAGTGACCCTTCGATGAGGCATATTCCACAGTTTCGGCATTACATTGTGCTATTTCACCATTTTTGTAAGGTGATCTCGCATTCCTGATTAGCTGAAGAGCAGGTTTGCTATCAGTGCATATAACCCATTTCCCTGGCTCAGGATTCTCGCAGATAAACTTAGTTGCTTCAAAGATAGCCACCGATTCTGCTGTCGTCGATGAAGGTTTGTGTGATAATTTGTACATCTTTTTCTGAATTTCGGGTATAAAGACCGCACAGGCTGACGCTTCTTCAGTGCATGATCCATCTGTATACATTACCGGAATACCATTGTGGTCATGCAGAAGAAAATGTTCGCCATATTCTTTTGGAGTGCGTTAAATAGTCGAATGCAAGAGAAAATTCAAGAACAAATTAGCAAGTTTGGACAGACGGCCCCTCGCAATAAAGAAACTACTTAGACCATGGCCTGAGATGCATCTCCAGAAAAAGGCAATAATCTTCCTGACAGACTTTTTAGTGGAGACCAGACTGGACAAGCGCCTATGACATACAGCCAGAGATGGGTATATATAAAATGTGGTCATGTATATACTGGCAGTAGAATAGTAAGATGTGCGTGTAAATAGTTTATGACTGTGTGAACTGCGCTAAGAAAACTGTATTAGCATGATATTTGAACTTGGTTTCAGTGTGCTATTATGTTTTTTTTTCTTTTCCGTATTGTTAATTTTTAGGTACCGTTCTCTATTATTCTTTTACTTTTCGCCGCAGAACTTTTTGATATGGAGTAGCCGAGGCAATAGGCACCTCACCCTCTCCACAGCAAAACAGTTAAAACAGAACAGAACAGATGAAAATGTAGAGTTGGTGGTTCCAGGCAAGGAGTTGTCGTGCTGGTACGACAACTTCGAAACGTGGTAGGAATGAGATATAGGAAGGGCTTCTAATTCCTCATTCGCGTGCGAGGTTCGCGCTCACAAGTGCCCGTTTCCGGGATAGCGAGCGCCTTACGTTGATTCCTCGCAAGACCTGATACGCGGCCCGATATTGTCGAGGAATGCGCACCTACGTGTGTGTTTCATCCTACCGGGTTTTGTTCCCCCCATCGGGACAACGAGCGTCGCTAGGTCTTGGTCTGGCGCTAAAGAGACCCTGTGTTCAACTAAGGAATGGCGGCTACCATGTATCGAGCGCTTGCTAGCTCATTCGCGCCATGAATCCTGCTGCCTCTCCATCACTACCACGCTGGACACTTTCCCTATGACTACGTCACTGCCAAAACTCAGCCCAATATTTCCCGGATTAGCACCGCTTAGTGTACCTTAGTTGCACCCTGTCACTTCATTGTCATGGTTTGCGGCGCGACGATCTTTGCATTACACGCACACGCACACACACACACACACACACACACACACACACACACACACACACACACACACACACACACACACACACACACACACACACACACACACACACACACACACACACACACACACACACACACACACACACACACACACACACACACACCACACACACACACACACACACACACACACACACACACACACACACACACACACACACACACACACACACACACACACACACACACACACACACACACACACACACACACACACACACACACACACACACACACACACACACACACACACACACACACACACACACACACACACACACACACACACACACACACACACACACACACACACACACACACAGCAAGCGAAGTGTCGACAGCCCCGTTACGGCAAATGAAGCCAGCAGCAGTGCCCAGGCCAGTCCTGCATGCGCACGGGCGGAGTTCTGGCTGAGAAGGTTTGACTAAAGGCGTCCGAAGGCATTAGAAGAACTGTACTTCCCAATACTTCCGGAAAACCAGGGACAAAATGGAAACCATCAAAGCATGTTAGCTGTTCAACTCGACCAATAAACGGGGAAAATGGGAAGGCTGCATTGCTAATAGGATGAAAGCACCATCCCGACTCCCCCCTCCACCCCCCTAACTCCCCCTAACGGGAGACCCTGCTGAGATCGCGAAGGTGCTGATGGAGCGGCAACCCCGATTGTGTCCATTAGTGGCCTTAACATTCTTGCCTTCAAAGGTTACTTAGATTTTTTTATCTTGCTATGGGAAAATCGGTGATTGATATGTGGGGTTTAACGTCCCAAAACCACTCTATGATTATGAGAGACGCCGTAGTGGAGGGCTCCGGAAATTTAGACCACCTGGAATGGGAAAATCAGTGCTGACTAACGAGATACCGTAACAAGTTTCCGTTTCGACATCTGACACTTTTTGGGGTGGATCTTTTTGTCTCCTTCAACCACCCCCCCCCCAAAAAAAAAGAAGAAAAGAAATGTGTATATTTCAATGTATGGTCGGAGAGACCATAGTCAGGCAGAGGTAATTTGATTTTAATCCCTTCAGCCAAGGCAATAGTTTTCGCCTCAATGAATTGATTGTACGAACTAAAACCTTCGGAGCTTTATATGCGAATATTCTGATAAAGTTTTTGGTGCGCCACAGATTGGACAATTTCCATGCTCCAGAAATGTCGGCAATTACGTGTAGTTCACTGCTTTGAAGGTTGAAAGCGCTGGCTCACTGCACGACACAAAGTAACGCAATCCGCTTAATGAAGGTACGCCGAATTTATTGGTTTACAACTCACCTCGCGGAAATAGAAAGTGTGGTGGCCGCAGAACTCAAAGTGATCACGAACGCCAGGGCAGCCGTAAAGGGCGTCCCAGAAAACAGGTTCTTCGAGCTTCGTGACAGCCAAGTCTACTTCGACCCGCTGGATGCATCTGTGGAAGCAAAATGAATACGTTACAGCCCCCGAGCACGGAAAACGAAGTTTCTGCCCCAGCACGTGCGATATAGTTTATCAAATCGTTTCCAATCTAGACTGTCTTTACGAAAGAAACTGCTTTTCTAGTACAGCCTTTTGTATCCATGAAAAAAAAAATGTCAAGCTCAACTTTATTATTTTGCTGTAGTTGAAGGCTTCAATTGTAATTTCAATCAACGGCAATTACGAAGTCAGCATTCTTTATAAACTGCGATGCTTATTCAGCATGTCTTCTCTTGTTCGCCCCATACTTGAAGGCTGCTGCTCGCCACTGGTTCACTAAAATTGTATACAAGTCACCCCACCCAAAATGTATGGTTCACAAGCTTGTGCTCCATATCAGGCCAATATAAACAGGATATGCGCCACCAAAACAGGGCAAATACCACCCCTAACAACTTCCTCCTAAAAGAAAAGAGCGAACATTTAGCCAAATTCCTGGCTGCTAAACGATGGCCACGAGTCGAAAATCCCGATTAGGCTTAGGAATGCGATAAGGCAACGGCGACTGCGAGAAGACCGCGCAGCGATTGAAAGCCTACACCAACGACGAGGTGTTTGTGTCGCATCAGCGTAGTTTTAATCAAACTTCTGTGCGTTGAGAGTCAAGGCGTGAGCAAGCAATAAACACAGAGCTAAAGCCTAGCAATGACCCATAAGCAATGTAAAAAAAAAGCAGAAAGACGAATAACACTTTTCGGGAATAGTTTCGGACCGCAACATCGCAGCGTTCCAGCTAAACCAACCATAGCACACGGTAACACTATATGCCATCAACTCTCCCGCGTACCTGTCACAACCAAAAAGCGCTTTGAATACAGCAGGAAAAAAATTCTGAATAAAAAGCAGAGCTACAGTATGCATCCCCAAAACAAAACTGAGAAAATCACAGTTATAGAGCATCACAAGGGACAATGAGTGACAACTTTTCTTGGCAGTGCTACTAAAGCTATAACTTAAAGTCTTGCCTGCACACATAAAAAAATAACATAGGTACTTTGTTTTCTATTTTCCAATTACCTAGTTTCAATACAACGATGATTTTATTGCAAAAAATTTGAACAAAATTAAGAAGTTCTGAAGAGAAGAATGCAATTTAATTCTTTTTGCTTGTACAGCAGCACGCTTGGCTGATGCCTGCTTTCGCGGCAAACATAGTTGCGATGGCGGCTTGATCATATGCGGCGACAAACTTGCTGTTTCAACATCCGAAAAAGGTTCCCGAGATGAAATGCCGCTGTCATAACAGACCAAGTGTGTTATCATTAAGGTCTATGCCGGGGTAAACTGCCTGCAACTGGAATTGTATACAAATGCTCAAAGTAAAACAGTGCTACTGAACTCGGCTGAAATTAGCCTGCCTACTTTCCTAGTAAACAAAATGTGTTGAAGCCGCGCTCCCGTAGCCCTCTCTGCACGGCCAAGTTGACGTCGAGTATGGGGAACAGAAGTGGCCATAAAATCTCTACAGGAATCCTACCACACGACGTAGTACAAGCCAGCAAACTCGTGTAAAGCATAGCCATTTACATACGAAAAGAAATCATCTGTTGACGGGGACAAGCATAATGTGTTGATATAGCAAATGACACTAACGGAGAAAAATAGAGGAACACGAACTTCAGTCGCGATAGAAATTCTGGACGTAGGAGAGCTTTCACAGTAATCTGATATCGTATCACTGCGAAACATGCCTCGCGCTATATCAACGCCGACTATCGCACAATGCAAGCAGTCAGTCTAGGTTGCGTCAAGTAACATGGAAATCTCACGTTCATGTGCTCATATAGCATGTAATCTATAGGGCCATCTTTGAAATTCGGACATGTTACCGGGATCAGCCTTTATATACCCGACCTTATACTACGCTTAAAGGAACGTGAAAGAGCAATAAGGAGGTGGTTTAGATTTACGAACTACACTGAAATGTAATGCCAGGGGCTCAGCGGAAAACATTTGAGATTGATTTTCAGATTTCGCGGCGGAATCACTGCGATTGATGTCTTGATTCTCGAAATGTATTTTTCGTTTTTTGCGACAATTGTCCGATGAAGTTTCCCAAAACTTCGTGAGCTAGGTCTAATCCATCAACAGATGACAATGTATTTCATTATTGTTAATTATGAGCTTTGTCGGACTCTGTCGACTTCATCAAAATGTGACGCGACGGCATTTGGTGCGGAAATTTTAAGGTGACGTCGCCACGCACATTTACTTTTCGCACGTTTTCTGGCTTACAAAGCATCGTCTCGAGTCCATATGTGTAATTTTGGCACTTTATGTGGTAGTATACTAATAGGCGCATTTGTTTTCTGTTTAGTGTCCTAATGCAACAAAGAACTAGTGTGAACTTTTGGGTGTTGTGGGGCTTTTCTAATGGGGTCACAAATGAAAGCCTAATACGCAGAAGTGATTTTCTTTGAGCACAGTGATACCATTTATTGCACGCGACAAAACAATCACCAACTCAACAATAAGAACGCATGTACACTCATCAGGATGATTAAGATGAAAAGCATGCCAGCTAATTAGTAGATAGCCTTCTGTCGCAAGTATAAATACGACTGACCACTGACTTCTGCTCACCGAAGTAAGTCACGCTGTTTCAACCTACACTTCACAAAGAAGAAGTGGTGCAGTTGACAGATTTGTTTGCGACTGCATCCATGACACAGCCATGTACCCATATTTTTTAACTTGACGCGTGAGCATTCTTTGTCGACCGAGTCAATAAGCACCCATATTCGTCGCCATGGTGTCCAGTTCCTGGAACACCATGGCAGAAGGCAGCTGCACAGGACTGTACATCATGCAGATTCACGTATTCTAGTTCATTTGGCCGCTTTGAGTTTTTATATGGTGCAATTTATTTCTTGGGGTTTAGCATTCCAAAACTACAATATGATAAGAGATGCTGTATTGAAGGGCGCCAAAAATTTCGGCCACCTGGTGCTTTTAACGTGCCCCTAAATATAAGTACACGCGCCTCCACTATTTTCGCCTCCAACGCAAATGCGGCCACCGCAGCAGGGATTTGATTTCGCAACTTACGGATCAGCAGCCGAGTGCCTTAGCCACTCGGTTAAGGCCACTCGGCAGCCGAGTGCCTTAGCCACCTTGGTGGTGGTGTACGATGTAACGCTTGCGCGCTCAGTTTTAAAACTTGAGCCATGGTATAACTGAACTAAAGCATGGGACCAGCATTGCGATTCTCCACTAGCGAGTGATTAAAGGGTTGCAGCCAGTGTTACAACTCCGGAATAGGCGTGATTACGGAATCCTTCCACATTTTAGCGACTCTGCGATCACATGCAATCGTTTTAGCTTCTTCGCTGTCGGTAACTTGGACGCGTATTCGAAAGAACGCTTCTCCGAGTTGCGATATGTATAAACGCTGACGCAATGTCTTTCTTCACCTCATACCACACATCCCCTCCCCCTCCCCATCTCTTGCAACACTGACCCCACTAGCTAGACTTGGGCGCCTTCACACAAAACTGGCGGAGATTGTCTCTATGTTAGCGCAGCGCACAGTCCACAGAGTTAATATACAGAATTTTGAGAACAGACAAATTTAGACGTTTACAACACTCAAGTTTTTGCAGTACGACTCGTAGACGAGCGTGTTCACGTATTGTAAAAAAACCAAAATTGTATGACATTTTCAGCAATCACTTTATTGGAAAGTACAACGGCCATGTATGCAATTTATTACGTGAGGAACGGAGTGCTTGCAAGTTTGTTTAGTAGACAGCGCCACCATCCTTGTAACGTTCAGAGCAACGTTATTAGAATATTTTAGTAACGTTGGTTGAGTGTGTGTGGTGGCATGTGTTTTGTTGTGGCGTTGTGGCGTGTGGCCTATGGCACCGGCTTGTTTGCGCACCGGGTGAGTCATACACAGAGCCTCGCAGTGCGTGTTCTTCGTTGCCATGAGCCAAAAGCTCGACTTCATGTGACAAGCTCTTACTGAGATGTAGCAGATACCCACGGAATAGAAAAATGTCAGTGGTTATTGCAGCATGCAGTGGCGAGAGCGAATGATCGTCACGCGAAGGCTCAGTGTCATGCCGTTATGGCGACACCCGTGCGGTTATAGGTTTTAAGGCATGTGCCATATAGTGAGCTTTTTTCTCTAGAGTCTGTATATTAATTATTCTATGGTACAGTCGTTTTTCTCTCCCGTATACAAACATAGAGACAGAATAAACTTTTGAAATCACTGGTTCGGGAAACGGCCCGAAGAAGAAAGCCCACGTAACCACTGCAAAGTCTCCCCGAGGCCTGCCTCGACGATTTGGGCCGAAAAAAAAACCCACGTTCAATTTGTTCTAGGGTGAGGGGAAGACCGGGTGGTGCCGCCGCCACCGCGCCTGTTAGCAACTGGAGAATTACAACCATAATGCACTGCCACACAGGCTTCTGCATCCTGCACTTAACGCTTGGGCATCTCGTGTTTGTGAAGTGCAACACATAATAGGTAGACGGCGATTGTCCTATCTCACTTTTTGTTTAGGACCAACCGTACAAAGATCAGTCATTCACGATTGCCGTTTTAAAACTAAACGCCAAAGCACCCATTTATCTTCTACCATTTAGTTTCAATATTTCGTTCGATATGTTCAAAATATAGAAGCTTATTTTTACATCTTGTGGTGCTTGCGACCTTTATTGCCGCATTTATGAACCACGAGAATGCCTAGGCACTTTTTATGTCGTCAAAATAGTTACCTAAGAACTAGTGACCAATTCACCAACGTGTTCGGAAGATCAGGCTTTCAGGAGATCATGCCCAAAAGACCAGACGTTCCTGAATCTCGAGCCGAGAGCAGGTCATCCCGCAGTCCTAGAGATCTAGGGTGGGATTATTTCATTATTATAGTTTTATATAATTTGTGCGACTTCGCTTGGTTCCTACGGCTCGACGCATATATGTCTTCGCATCACCATGTAAAA